ATAGTCCGAAAAATACGGTATTCAGATTAGGTGTAACAAAAATACCCAAATATTTGAAGCCTCTCTTAGACATTAAAAACGGAGATTGCTTTAACCTTTCTAGGGCGATCTTAAGAGGGGTGGCAACAAACTTTCCTAAGGTGATTTTGTTTCCTGATAAAGCACCAAATGTAGCCATAGATTCCAGGATTGCTGAAATCAATTTTTCAGGATTACACATGTACAAAAGTACATAATCTGGAAATAGTGAAATTATGTGGTTTCTACCACTTATATTAATTACAGATAATTCCGGATTAGTCCTGATAATCTCGGCCAGAGGTTCAATAAACAATGTAAACAATAAGGAAGAAATGGGGCACCCCTGCCTACGACCCCTATGAGCCTGGATCACCTCTTTTTCAAGGTTGTTTCTGATCTCTACTGCTTTTTGGTGAGAACAGTAAGATATAAGATGACCATGCAAAGTGGCTTTTGTTGTATACCAGATCATAGCAGAAGATGCAGGAGAGTTTTTGTTGTCAAGCCAGAACTGCAATAGATTACTCCGGACAAAATTACTATTTTTTTTATCTAAAAAGAATGTATTGAATTTCCAAATTATAGTAAATAATACAATCATTTGTGACATAAATTGTGGCAAATCATCATTAGGAGCAGACACATTAAGAGTAATTATATGTAATTATATGAGTCCTTAGTGAAAACAAATTTATGCTCCCGAATAAAAGGAAGATTCTTGTGCATAAGAATGACTGTAACCTTCTTATTTTGAGAATGGGAAGAAGAATATACGTTAAATGGACTAAACTTTTCCAGTCATTTTGCTTTACACTAGAGTCACATCCATCCATTCACATCAATTCGCAGACCAGTAGGCAATTTGGGGTTAAGTGCCTTGCCCAGAGGCACATCAACATGTGGCAGGAGGAAGCTGCAATTGAACCTACAACCTTCTGATTGCAAGACGCCCACTCTGCCACTCAGCCACAGTTGCCCATTACCGACCCAGTCCTTTGTAAGTTTCAAATGTTCAGATAACCCAGTTTCCTGTAATAGTGCTATATCAAGTCTTTTTTGCTTGTTTTTTTTCCAGTTAAGTCAAAACCTTCTTCCTCTTGATCACATGACCCAGTCCCTGTATAATCCCAGTATACAATCTGTATACAATTTGTATGTCATAGATATACAAACTGCAAGAGTGGAAAACAGCTCTTAAACACCGGGTGTCATATTTAAATAGAATAGTCTGCACACAGACATTTTTATATGTATAAAAAAGAGAAAAAAAGTCACGCTTAAGGTTCCTAACATTTAACATCAAAAAATAAATATGGAATCTGCAAGCAGCACCATTTCCCGGCCCTATTCTGTCCCCAGATTGGCATTAAGATGAAATAATTTCTCAAACATGAATGAAATTAAAGCAACACTCCAGATAGGGTTTTGATTGGAAATGACATTATAACATGATGTAAAGCTAAAAAAAAAAAAAAAGAATTTTACATCATACTCACCCTTTAAAGAGAACACTAAGAACGCCAAACTAGTTTTGTACATAAGGTTAAAGTTCCTTCTTCCCCGAAGTAAAGTCTATTCTTTTAATCTTCAATTGTTTGCAGCAGAATTGATGCATTTAGTGTTTTTAGTTCAGCAGTGCAACATATATATTCCGTTTCAAACTCACCTGATGATGTCTCCATTTTAGGCTTGGGAAATTTCAAGACTGATTCTGATGGAAAGGTAATGGCTACACCAGAAACAAGAGAATATTAATGTTAATTAAGGAGTGTGGTTAAGCAAGTTATAACAGAAGCAGTAAATTACAAAAGTAACTATGTTGATTGAATTACATTTATGTATAATATAGGGATTTTATTTTCAGTTGTTCATTAAAATCAAAGCAAAACTGTCTGTGCAGCAGTAATGTACTGACAATATGTGTCTGCTATATGTTCATCCAACAATGAACACAATTAGGGCTGGAAGAATTTCTCAAATGATTTGAGTAACTTAATTACGAAAAAAATTAAAAACTGTATTATTGTTACAGGTTAATTTTCTGAACTACATAAAAGTAATTATAGGGATGAACAAATATAAATAATATCATAAATAAGGTAAATCAATGTAAAATCATTTTTGCTACTAAGGATTAATGAAATTTTAAGACCATTTTTCAAAGGTTCTAAACCTAACTGAGCCCTTTCCATTTGTCATTGTTCTATAGCTGTGATCTTCTTGACCTCCGAACAGATTTGAACAGATAAAAATTCTCAGCGGTTATCCAGAGATTTTAATATTTTCCATTTTATAAGTACAATGAAATATATAAATATAGTTTTATTAGACTTACCAAAATGTTTCTCACTGTGTCATTATTCCTAACCTTCAGTTGGAGTTTAAATGATAAAAATGTGATCTGTTCTTTTCCACATCATCTGAAGCTTGTTTTCAAAACAAACAACGGATGTTGGCACAACTCTACATTACAATGTCACCAGGTGACTGAAGAGAGGACAGAACAGATCAATGTGTGGGTGTGCCAAAGCTTTCTTCAATTGGACAAATAAAACTGAAGGTATTATCTTTGAATCTAAAGTGGAACAATCTACAGTCAGCACATCTTCAGGTATTACTGCTAGAAACTATCGACTAGGTCAGACATCTGGGTGTAGTAACAGACTCTGACCTGAACCGTCAAAGTGAAATAAATACTTTGACTTAACTTTGAAAGTCGGCCTTCTATCACCTGAAGAACATTTCCAGGATTAAAGGCCTAATGTCCCAGCAAGTCTGTTTATCTTTAGTCGCATTGATTACTGCAACAGTAGCAATGTTTCCACCCAACTCTCGTTCAAATTTAATTAAACGTTTGAAATAAGACTGTTGTAAATGACTATTTTAGTAATCGAGTAATCTATCGATTATTCTTACATTTAATCGCGTAATCAGATAAAATAAGATAAAGTAAAACATCGGTAAAACTAACATAACAGCAGTATTGCATATCAGCATCAGTCCAAGTTTTCACAGTTGAGCTTCCCTAACAATAATTTTTCTGTAGTTTAGAAAATTAGCTCATAACAGTAATAGATCACTTTCCAAGTTGACCTGAAGAAAAGTTACACAAAAATCAGGAGGTGCTGGTGCCTTGTTGGAGCTAACACAGAGACAGACAGGACAAACAACCATGCACACACACACACACACACACACACACACACACACACACACACACACACACACACACACACACAGGGAGAATTGGAAAGCCCAGTTAACCTGACAGTCATGTATTTGGACTGTGGGAGAAAGCTGGAGTACCCGGAGAGAACCCACGCACGCACAGGGAGAATATGCAGAAAGACCCTGGGCTGGGAATCGAACCCAGGACCTTCTTGCTGCAAGGCAACAGTGCTACCAACTGAACCACTGTGCAGCACGCATTTAGCTAATTTTAGCTTGTACACTAATTTTACCATACTGAATGGCATAAGTACATGTTAGTCAACATGCTTTTGATTATCCACATGCTGCTGACTATACTTTTGCTAAACTTAGCAATGATGCTAACTTTGCATCAGAACGCTGGGTTCCAACCGACGGGCATACTTTGGCAGGGCCTGTTTAAATTTCATCTGAAATTTTCTAGTATTAGTGATGCAGTTTACACCTCTGCCCCACAGATGCCAGTAAATTTGACTGGTGCTGTTTGATCCCAGTCAGTAAAAATGCTGGACTGGCTTTGATTTCCCTCTGTGGTGAAGTGATGCAAACTCTGCGGCGGTGAGAGAAAATACCAGAATCTGTTGTGTTTTCCTGAATGACTTTTAGTTCCTTATTTAGTAAAATTGTTTGAGGAGCAAAAATTCCTCCAGCGTCCGTCAATCCTCACCATCCACCCCCGCAGAAAGTCACCGTCAGTAGAAAGTGATGGCAGACTGAACTAAAATAGAAGCTTTTCTGTCTTTTGTTTCACTCACCTCAGTTTCATACTGAAACGCTTCAGCATTTAGTTTAATTTAACCTGATTCATTTGCATTATCACCAGCTGATATCGCTGAATATTTTTAATGTAATTCATGAACTCATTTGATTCCTCAGGCTTTATAAACGTCTCTGAACCGTTAGTTGGATCAGCAGGTTCTGAGGTTTAGCTCAGTTTAACCAGCTAACAGGTAAACCTGAAGAGCTTTATGGAACAGTAGTTTCACATTTATTTATTTGACTTCCTTTAGTTTTAGTTTAGTTTTAATTCTAACAGTATTAAACTCGCCTGTTGCCTTTGATATATTGATCAAATATATTGACTGATCAAATATATTGATCAGTCAATATATTTGATGATTTTGATGATGAAATGTAATGTTTGCTGCTGTTTATTATGTTTTTATGATGTAAAGGACTTTGAATGGCCTTGTAGATAAAATGTGCCACACAAATAAACTCGACTTAAAAATGAATTAGTCTGCTGGCTTCAATAAGGGAGCCGCTGTGGGAATTGAACCTGTGACCTCTCAGCTATAATCTGCTCTGGCTGCCACTCTGCCAGCAGGGAGAGAGGAAAACATGTGGCAACATGTTTTAAAATAGTTAGAGCTGGAAATAAAAGTGTGGTTTTGACCGTGGCTTTGCTCATGTTGTTAGAATGATGTTTTTGGGCAGAGGAAGTATTATTCTAGCGGCGGCGTGACCCAGGAACCGTCAGCTCTCTGGATACGTGAGCGAACAACACGGTGAGACGGAGCTGCTCTGAGGAACGTGAGAGACACCAGATATTTCCCATAAATCATCTCGAGTTCGGTCTGATGTGAACTGAAGCTGTTATCAGATGGAAGTTTTTATCCGTCTCTCATCTTCTCCTGTGTAGTTGAGTCATTTGTTTTTGGTGGACCTGGCTCTGGCCCGCCGCCTGCCTCATGATTTTACTCAGACGCTCGCAAGTAAAGACACAAGTTATAAAATAAAAAGTCAGGGTTTCTGTGTTTGTCTTGCAGGTCGTGCATCTTCTACAGAGCCTGCATGGACATCCCCAGAGGAACGGAGCTGCTGGTTTGGTACAACGACTCCTACACGTCCTTCTTCGGCATCCCGCTGCAGTGCATCGCTCAGGACGAAAACCGTGAGGAGACTTTCCTAACTACCTGTGTTTGCTGGTTAAAGACTCAGGAATACCTTTGATTCAGACACACAAGTCACTGCAGTTCTTGGTTCACACAGTAGAAAAATCAACAACAGGAAGCGGAATAAATTAGAAGCACATTTTCCATGAACTCTAGTTAGACAGGTTGACTATCTGTGGATTATTATGTAACATTTTGCAGTAAATATTTATTCTGGGATCAACTCTAAACCACAGAAGAAAATGTTAGCAGCCAGTGTTTCAGACAGAATAAGTATGAAGAAGAAGGTAGGAAGAATGACCATTAGTGTAAAACATTAGTCAATAAACACTCCCACAAAACCGACCAAAATGCTTCAGATTCAGCAAACTATCAGCATCTCACACTGTTCATGTAGCATTGACTGATCCTTCACTTCTCTGCTGCTAAAGCTACAAGCTAACTAAAATGCTAAAAAATCAGCATCATTGTACACGAATCCAAGTTAATGGGAGAAATCCCAGAGGGAGCAGTGAAGGGAAATGAGAATCTTGTCCGGTGCGTAAAAAGGCAAGAAGAGCAGCTGCTGTCCAGATCTGAGGGGGTCAGACAGATACAATGGAGCAGAATTATTTTTATTACAGGCTTATTGTTTTTATCAAAAGGAGAAAAACGTTTTGCACAAGCTGTAGGCGAACAGTGTAACAAGAAAAGGTGATAATAAAAGTATGAAATTCTGTCTCCAGTTTGAGTTTGGAAAGCAAAAGCTTAATTTTTCATTTTGCCTGAAAAAGTTGAATTTGGCTGCAGATTTTTGCTGCTTTTGAAGTTTTCTGAAGGAAAAGAGCAAATATATAAAAACAATGTAGTCACAAAAACATTAAGTGGGTTTTTAAGCTCCTCTGCTTCTTTCTCATCATTTATTATAACTTCCTTCAGGTTTGTCTGAAGAATAAGAAGCATCATAAATTTCAGCTAAAACCTCCTCAGTCACATATTTCTGACTTTCTTAAAAATCTTAAATATATTTTATTTCCCATTTGGTCACCTGTCTCTTCTTTTGTTCCATCCTCTTCATCCTCCCTCCTCTTCCCTCTGTTTTGTGTTTACCTCTCCCCCAGTTTTCTGCTCTGTCAGCTTGTTTACATCCACGTTTTCTTGTACATCTTACAGAATAACTCCCTGCAGGCGGAAAACAAACATTGCCTTTTTTTTCTACATAATTATTTAGAAAGAAAAACTCGAAGGCAAAAAGGAGCAGAAGAAGGTTTTAATCTGCGGAATCTAAACTGGAATAAATTGAATTAGAGACTCTCCTTTAACAGAGCCGTGTTGAAACGAGATCGTGCTGATTGCAAATTAGAGACGTTTGGCCACAAGCTGCTTTGCATTACAGACAAAACGAGTCTTTTACATGACATTGTTCGTCGTGACAGCGCTGCGGCGTCCGCTGTAAACATAATCACAGGCACACAAACAAACAGCCGACATTCCTTCTGCGTTCGGGACCAGAAGAGCGAATCGCTCTGAAGGAGCCAATACTTCCTGTCTTTATTGTTTGTATCTCCTTAAAGCCGCACATGGCTGCTCTTTTCATTAATGGGTTCCAGGAGTTAGAAATGCATCTTGGTTCATTTCTATTTAATCAAACAAAACACTAATGTCTTTAGGTATGTCAGAAATGGTCACTTTCTGCACAGGTCTCTGACCTGATTCAGGTTGACGTCTGGACTTTGACTAGGCCAGTGAAACACCTCAGTTGTGTTTGGGATCTGTGTGATGGTGACGACCCAGAAAACTTTCGTTCACAGTAATGAGTGACTGCAGGCTGAGGACGTCCTGTGGATTCAAACCCCAGGCATCACTCCTCCACCTCTATGCCTGGTACTTGGAGAACATTGTGCTGTTTTTAGCTGGAAGAGTTTTTTTTTTTTTTTTTTTTTTTTTTTACCTTCAGGCATTTAAAATGGGCCAATCAGGAAACAGTTGCCTTTTTCTCTCCATCTTGATGTTGTGTTAAAAGTAGAGGTGGGACTCAATTAAAACATTTAATCAAATTAAGTAATTAATGGTAATTAATTAAAAAACATCAATAAAATAAATAACATTTTCATTTCAAAAAACATTTTTACAGCCAAATCACTGAATAAATGGAGATATGAGGTGAATAAAAATATTTATCTGGTATTCATCTTTAATCAGCTCAGTATTCATGGAGCTTCTGTGGAAATGTGGACGCTAGCATTAGCATCTGTGCTGCTGCTACATGTTTAGCTTTAGCTTCAGGCTAACTCTTTTTTTGCACAATTTAAACTCAACATAGATCTCAGCATCCCATCAGATCAGTTTAGAAGCAAAAATTAACCCACATTTGACTAACTTAACTTTCGTTCATTATTTTAATTATCATGTAATTTTATGAATTGTGCAGCTTTACCGACTCACCAGATGAAATCACTTTACTATTATAGGAGGATTTTGTTTCTTTTACTGCTTTCTACTGAGTTACTCGGTTACTTTGAAGCCTCCCGTCGATTTCCTGTCCTGCAGAAAGAAATCAGCTTGTTTTGTTCTGGGTTTGAATCCAGAGTCATCTGCCTTTTGACATGGATGTCTTTGCTGTCAGAGTCTGAGACGTGGAAGACGTCAGCAAGTTGAAACAACTCAGAAATGGACATAATTAAAGCTGTCAACGATTCAGACTGTAGGCTGATTTGAAATCATCTCTGTCCATGTGAAGACATTTAGTCCCTGGAAGTACAAAGTAAATCCTACACAAAGAGACGTTCAACACATTGATTCAGCCTGCAGTGAACAAAGGTTTGTTCACGAACCAATTAGCTTAAATCAGATTTCATGTTTTGTACCAAATAGAAACCAGAAACTCTGGTCTTAATTAAAGACACTTTACTACTAACTGCATTTAGGCTGTGCATTGTCTTGGGTTGGCATCGTTATCTGCTGATTGTGGAGTCCATGGAGACTGACGGACAGCACTGTTGTGTCTTCGAGCCGACTGAACACTGAGACGGGCAGCTCCCATCACCTTAACCCCAACCCTAACCCCAACCCAAAACCTGCTGCATGAAGATCTAATTCACAACTGAAACCGGAATAAATTCATTCCAGAAAAACTTTACTAAACCCAAAGTGAAGTTAATGACAGGCTGTAACACAGAGCTTAAAGATCTAATTAGTTAGAGACACTAAATTCCTTGAGATCAGAAAATCTGTGAAACACTTTAATGATGTTTTCACACTTTGGGATCCAAATGTTGCAACATTGGTTCCTTTTCCAGCTGCTGTGGTCCTTTTTCTCACTGCCAAGTCAAACCAACTAAACCGTTTGTAGAAACTGTTCCCCTCCTGGCCTGTGGGGGCGCTGCACCATGAACCACTGAAAGAAACCACATGAAATTCTCTGAAGACGCTGAGAATAACTTCATTCTTCACAAAATCTAAACATTTCTCCTTGTAGCAGCAGACTCGTGCATTTGTTTTGGTTGTATTTACCCAGAATGCCTTGCGGTGTCGGCCGCTTCCTCTCTTTTTTTGAGCGGTTTTCGGTCCGCTTGATTTCACAAATGAATTCAGATTAAAATCTAATGTTCAATGGAAATGTGAAAATCCTGAAGTTCATGTTGTGAAAACAATAAACTAGTAAACATGTTTACAGATTTAATCTCAACATCAGCTGATCAAAACTCAACTTCACGATAAACGCGACGTGAATAAAATCCAGCTTTATGTTCCCACCGGTCCACACACACACACACACACACACACACACGCACGCACGCGCACACACACACACACACAAACACACACACACACACACACACACGTGCGCGCACACACACGCACACAAACACACACACACGCACACACACACCCACGCACACACACACACGCACACACGTTTTACTGAACAACGTTCCCTCCAATCAGAGTGTGTCGGCCTGAGCCGTTGTTGTTGGTGTTAGCGACCCGCTAACACCAACAACATGGCCGCAGACACACTTCAGTTCCTCCTCGTCTCTGTGAGGAAGACGAGGTTCTGATAGGAACGGTGGAGAAAATCTGGGGAATTAGAAGAAATGCTACATTTATATTGACTTGCTTAAAATAACCTCATTTCTCTTCTTTATTAAAAATGAAATATTATTATTATTACTATTGTTAGAATGGTCTGTATTGATTAGTGGAGCATTTAAATGTTTAATGACAGTGGTAGGACCATTGATCATCAGGAAGCTTCAGCAATAATCTGAACAGCCAATGAGGAACGGTTCTGATTAATCAGTTGGTTTTAACCAGATAATCTCCTTTGGTCACTAGTTTGAGGTTAAATGGAAAGTTACAGACGTCCAAACAGCTTCACTGCAGTTGGTAGAAACTCGTTAAAAAGGGCGTTTGACTTGAAAACAGGTGACCAACAACATGGGGAACAAAGTAACTTGACCCAATCAGTCCGAGGCCGTGGTTCTGAACTAGAACAACCCAGAAAGTTCCGTGCAGGTGCAGCGGGTCGGTCTGTGGGGCGGGTCGGTCTGTGGGGCGGGTCGGTCTGTGGGGCGGGTCGGTCTGTGGAGTGGGTCGGTCTGTGGGGCGGGTCGGTCTGTGGGGCGGGTCGGTCTGTGGGGCGGGTCGGTCTGTGGGGCGGGTCGGTCTGTGGAGCGGGTCTGTCTGTGGGGCGGGTCGGTCTGTGGAGTGGGTCGGTCTGTGGGGCGGGTCGGTCTGTGGGGCGGGTTGGTCTGTGGGGCGGGTCGGTCTGTGGAGCGGGTCTGTCTGTGGGGCGGGTCGGTCTGTGGAGCGGGTCGGTCTGTGGAGCGGGTCGGTCTGTGGGGCGGGTCGGTCTGTGGGGCGGGTCGGTCTGTGGAACGGGTCGGTCTGTGGGGCGGGTCGGTCTGTGGGGCGGGTCGGTCTTCAGCTCGTCTGGTCTGAATCATGGAGTTGCAGCGTCCGTTGGAACCAACATGGCCGCCACTGTGCGGCCATGTTGGTGACATGTTTGCAGGTT